GCAGTCCGCGAACGTTTCTTACTTCATGCCTACCATTCGTCATGGGTTAGTTTCATCTTGTTTTCTTTTTTAGTCTCGTTATTCCTTTATGTATCGACTTACTTTCCCGGGTTTATAATTTATTTTTTGGCAAATAGCAAACTCAACGACATGGTTGAGCACTATGAAGCACTGCTGCTTAGTAGGGAGCAGGACATCGACACTTGGAAGGGCAAGTTTTCTTCATCTGGTCATGAACAGTGAAACGGTGATCATCCCAGATGATGAATGCGATGCCGGGCATGAACCAGGAACCTCTTCCAAGCAAGTCCTGCAGCTGAACCGAATGAACCCGATCCGCCTGATGTTGTGCCTGAAATGGCTACGGACTCGTAGTGGTTGCGTCCACTTGAAACTGGGGGTTGTCCCAAACATTTTAATATTCGGATAAGTATGCTTTTGCCTAAGGAGGCTTTTTGTTTGAACAAGATTTTTGCCTAAGGAGGCTTTTAAACCTTTTTTCACTATAATCGTAAAGGGTCTTGCTAAAATAGAATGCGGGTTTGCAAAGTCCGCCTTGAAATATTTTTGACCATGTGGTTAAGTTTCGAGGTTCTTAGGTTGATCAGATCTTTCTCTTAGAACGTGAATTCCCCATCTCGGGTTTAGTCAATTCGGTACATTTATTGGGCTTAGGCCTTAACTGTTTTTCTTTGTATTTAATGGGCTTTTCATCTTTAATGCGACGGTTGCCATTTCCCTTTCCATTCCTCGAGAAACAGGAAAAAGCTTCACGCATTTGAGGCAATAATTGCCTTTTCTCGGTTCCCAAAAATGGTTTAAACAACTCGGACACACTTAATTATTGAATTTTTGGTTCCAAGGCAAAACGTAGCCCTCTATAAATAAGAGCTTATCTGCCACCGAATTCTCCCCAAGTATGATTTCAGAAATTTACTTGATAAATACCACGAGAATGGAAAACGAAGGAGCCTCCACCGTCTACTCTCTCGACCCCGGCAGCCCACTGTTTCTGTCCGGTGATGGTTTTGAACCGGTGGGAGTTCTCTTTCCGCACGCCACTTTCCACTTCCCCCCGAAAGATAAAGAGGAGGCATACGAATTCATGGATAAGGTCGGGATTCACTCTTCTTTCCTCTAATATGCTTCTTCTTTTTCTTCTCTTTACACTTATCGGTTTCCATATTTAGGTTGTTGACAAACATCGCCGCTTGTGCGATGAGAGGTGATAATAAGTTTTTAGTCAATTATCCTAAAGTACTATCATGTCGTTGTAGTACTGAAGGTTGTCAATCCAAATGGGTGTGATGCTAACAATCAAAATGTGATCAGAAGTCACTAAGTCAAGCCAAGCAATAACAGGTTTTGGTGTGTTCTAGCAGTCCTAAGTGAACATGCAGAAAACAGAAAATCAAGCAGAAATAGTAAAACACTCAACCAACACAGCTCGTTGCAGAGCTCTGGGTGTGGTCGAGTGACAGGTCGAGTAACAGGCAGTAAACGAAACAAAGACACTCGACTGCACAGTCTGTTGCCAGACAACTGGGTGGTCGAGTATAAGGTCGAGTAACAGGAAAGAATTGCAGAAACTAAGCAACAGATGACAAGATGCAGTAAACAACAGTAGAGTAAACAATAAAATCAATCAGATAAAAAATTTCCGAGGATGGGGTAATTGAGTAGTTTCGTTTCCTCAGTTTACAAGTGATTGACATGCTCAATAAATTATCCCTAGACAACAAGTTCATTAACCAAATCTAAGTGCCACCGCAACTGAGACCCTCAAGTTAACTTAGTCTCAGACTCAATCACCATTGACGAGAGCTAACCTAACATGCATTACGAATCAACAAGTTAAAGCCAAAACGCTCACTGCAACCAATACCTTGGTACAGAGCCACGAATCTCTGGAATTAGTGGTTCAGACATTTCTTCGAACATCTTTTGGGCGCAGAAATGTCTGGGCTCAAATTCCAGTTGATTAGAAAGCAATAGGCATTAAGAACAACTAATCCAGTAGGGATCTATCAATCAAACTCAACCACCTAGCATATTGAGAATTCTAAACTACTCTAACCCATCCCAAGAAACCTATTCACTACTCAGACATCATTGCAAAGAACATAAACGTTGAATAGAATGAAAACATGATAACAACAGAGTAATAGCAAGGTGATAACAGGATGAACAACAGTAAACGAAATCAAGAACAAAATGCTGAATACTGAATAGATTAAGAGAAATTCGGATTACAAAATGTCAAGAACACAGTGTCTACGGAATAAAACTTAGCTTAACAAAAATGTAAAGTACATGCTACTTATAGCGAAATATTTCCGAAACCCTAATACTCAAAACGACGCAGTATTGGGACAGATTTAGAACAGTACTCGACCCAGGTGGTCGAGTGAGCGGTCGAGTGATAAGCTGGAATCTTTTTTTCTTTCTTGTGCTCGAGTGTCTGGATGAGTGCGGTAGAGAAGACTCTGAAGCTGGCAGCCAAGGGGATGGTGGTACTCGGCTTGGTGGTAGAGTGATCGCGTGAAGGTGATGAAGGTACTCGACCTTGTGGTCGAGTGGAGTGATCGAGTGATGGTCAGGTGGTGGACGTGATGACACTCGACCAAGGGGTCGAGTGATGTGATCGAGTGACTCTCATGGTGGTCGAAGGTGAAGTGATGAAGTCTTCTACTCGACCAGGGGGTCAAGTGGTCTGTTGAGGTCGTGAAGCATCTACTCGACCAGGGGATCGAGTGGTTTGACATGATCAGGTCCGCTTCTTCCAATTAGCTCGTCAACAACTCCAAATCACCTGAAAACAACACAAATATGCAACATGCATGCAAAACTATCCTAAACATGCGAAGTGATGACAAATGATGAGAAATAGTATAAAACATTGGTGATATGATGCTAAAGTAATGACAAATGGATGCTCAAAACAGGCAAAATGCACACTTATCAACTCCCCCAATCTTAGTCTTTGCTTGCCCTCAAGCAAACAATTAAGAACAAGCTGGAGGTGAGGTTTGAAAGCGGGGACTCAGAGCCAAAGCACCAGATAAACCAGATGAAATCAATGTCCAAGTTGATAGTTCTAAGTTACGATATGATCGAATTCTACTAAAAAATGTTAGCCATGCCTTGTTATCAATCAATCCGACTCTTATGCTCGACCTACACATGTTTTCAAATCTACCAATCCCTTTAACATTCATTAGTTCTGGAACGTGAATCAAGCAATGCATCATCAATGAACTCATTTGGCTAAGGTAAAAGTCAAGAGACAAAGATGGTCCCTTACAGAATAGGCTTCAGGAATAGGGGATCTCTCAAAAAATGATTAAGCTTTAGTAGAATGCTAAAGGTAAGTCACAAGCTATGCATACAGAGATAAGATCCCATCTACCCACAGTATATCAAATGAAGCTCTAATGGTAATCCCATCTCCAATCCCAATATAAGAACTTAACTCTACCCTTTGCATTCATGAATCCTTTAAGCCCTTTTTCTAATCATTCTTTTCTTTTCTCTTAACTCTTAGGAGAAGCTTTCTCAACGCTTTAATACATCTAGCGGATTTGGATTTCTTTAACAACTAAGGTTCCTGCTTTTAAAATTTTAAAACCGAGGGCTTTTGCCCCTTTTCAATAGCTAGCAAGAACTCTTTCTTTCTTTACAAATCCCAAAAACTTTACTAGACTTTTTCTGCTTCTTTAGCTTACTTCACCTAAAATCTTTTACATTTTCCCATCAATGAATCAATCTCTTTTTTTTTTTTTAGACACATTCTAACCCAAAGTATAAGCGCCCACCTAATCATATATAGTCCGAAAAATGCGAACTAGAACTACATGAGACATTATCTCTGTCGTTACGAACCTAACACTTTCTACCAAGCTTAATCGGAATAAGACCTCACAAACACTCACAAGTGATATATGACTTGAAAGAAAGTCTAGGTTTGGGTTTGGGTTAACTACTCTAATAAGGAAAGTCAACTACTTGGATTAACAAGAGTGATCAAAATGAATAATAAAATCCAAGTATTTTAGGGTATCCATGAGTTCAAATTTGATGCAGACATGATAATTAAAGATCAGATTCAAGTTCAAATTGATAGTGAATGGTATCAGATCATGACAGTGTGGTCGAGTAGAGCTATCTAGGCATGGTTCAGTCTTACTTCAATTTCATTGACTACGCAACAGACAACTAGCAACGAGGGCATTGAGTTTATCCTGTGAACCAAAATGCTTACAAGGCTATCTCATCATTATCCCCTATGCATATGCAACAATCCTAAATGAATTACTCTAGACTCGATCCTAAATGTAATGCAACTACATGAACACTCTGTTTTGTGAAATCATTTTCTGAAATTTTTAAAATTTTTTTTGGTTTTTCTATGCTTTAGATGAATGCAGACTCAAGAGTATATACAATGCAACACATACTTCCTTAGCCCTCCCCCAAACTTAAATCACACAGTCCACTGTGTGACTAAACTTGGAAGAGAGTACTCAGGACAAATCCAATCACAGAAACAAAATAAATAACAAATCACAAAAGATGATATAATACAATGGTGAAGTGAGGCGCTTACCTCAGTCGAAAAATAAACAGAGTTGATCGTCAATGGCTGCCTGTGATTGCTCCCAGGCCATAGACGAGCCGCCCTGTTCTGTATCAGCTCCAGCAGGTGGGTACTCGACCTCATCAGCTTTGTGGCGGCCAGCACCGCTCTGAGGATACTCGACCTCTCTCCTTCTGCTGCGGCCAGCACCGCAGTCGAGTAATCTCCTTTAGTGAATAAGGGGTGATCTGCTGCTAGAGCGAACGAGTGTAGCCTTTCTTCTTCTTTTGTGCTCCCGAGACTCGAATGATGAATGTCTAGTAGGGACATGTGAGACTCTCTGCTCACTAGGCTCAGGCCTGTGCTGACTTGGCTCAGGCTCATCAAATCTCCTCGATGACATCTCCAGAGGAGACTGTCCCTGTGGAATAGCTGTAGTGGAAGAGAAACCGCTCAGCTTATCCGTCAGAAACTTGATCGTCTTGAGGCACTTGGCGAGTAGCTTGTCCTACTTTTTGCACCACTTCTGCAGCTTGTTGTTGTTCCTATGAGCTTCACTAAAGCTCTTGCTCTCCCTCGTGGAGGTACATGTTCATCAAAATGATACATGCTAGTGTCGAACTCCACTGCTCTGCCTTCATCCATCCCATCCTCACTAGCTTCTTCTATAAGATCATCTTCATCCAATGGCGGAGCGTTCTCATAGTAGTGACTTCCAATCTCAGGCCTAAAATCAATGTTATCTCCCTCTATTATGCGTATAACCTTTGGGCTGGGGAGAAGGATGCTAGTTCTCTTATCCGTAGAGTGCTCAAACCTGAAACGGTGTATGCCGCCAACCATTGCGACTCGAGGAATTCGAAGTGGCGTAGATGCTCGATATCCATTGCCCGTGGCTCGAGTCCATCAGACGTGATTTGGACTCCACAAGCAATCAGAATCGGTGTCACAACACCGCCTATGCAAAGAGCGCCTCGTGCTCTCTTTTGGTTATTGCTGATCCACACAGGTGGATCAGAAGAAGTACATAGAGAGGTGTGTCATTGATTTCACCTTGGAGAGACATGTTGTTCTTAGTTTGGCGAAGAGTGCCTTTGAGAGCCATAGCGATCATCTCCATATCAGAATTGGTAACAGTCCCTGTGATCTCTCTGGAGTAGAGGACATTGGCTATAGAATGCTGGAAGTACCTGATGACAGGGATGCGTATCTGATTGCTCTTTGACCTGGAAGAATTCAGCGGTACAGAGTTGCCAATGGTGATCCATAAGTCTTTCAACTCTTCTCTGTCATACTTGGGCTTAGTACACGTTCCACCGGGGAAACCAAGCAATCCTTCCAAGCGCTTGATTGATAACCTATACTCATGACCATACACAGAGAATCAAGAATCTCAATCCTTCGCAATCCAACTCATCAGAGGTCATACCTTGGTAAAGCTCCACTTGTAGTGTGGAGAGGAACTGAATTGTCTCTTCTTCATATGCTACATACGGATACGCCATCAGAGTGTCCAGATGACAACTCTGGTACATTTGCTGAACATCCTCCAACAATCCAAGTTGTGCAAGTGTGGTCGAGCATGGATACCTCGTGCTACAGAACTCATTCAGTTTGAAGAGCCTAATATATTCCTTTGCAGGCAATACATCAGGTTTGTGCAAAAGTTTGGTGGCTCTGCGAGTATGCTCAAGCATGTACTCATCTTCCAGATCCTCATCTATAAGCTCATACCTCTCTGTCATTGCTCTCTTCCCTCGGGCTATCTCAGCTTTTCTTTTGAAACTATCATATTCTCTCTGATCTCTCTCTGGCCTCGAAGATGACGACTCTGTCTCATCCATGTTGTAGTCAGGATCAACTAAAGAACTGCCACTATAATTACTCATGATTCTCCTACAGAAGATTTAGAACTCAAAACTCAAATGTCAATAGATTAGTCTCAAAGACAACAATGAAACCAAAATTGTTATCAACGGGCAATGAAATTGACCAATTTGGTCGAGTACAGTATAGTACTCGAGTAAATAAAGCGCTCCTGGGTTACTCTATCAAGAATTGGATCGAGTAGAGTAGAGATCGGCGGTCGAGTAATGTCTCTGAAGTTGAGTGGCTCTGTTGCAGGAGGTCGAGTGAAAATTTGAGGTCGAGTACTTCTTTGGTGAGCCAGAATTGGTAGGGACAGAACCACAAGTCGACGGTCGAGTCTTGTGGTTGTAACCGAGTAGTTTCTGAGATTTCGACTGTGAACGAGGCGGGGAACTCGATTCTGGAGGCGTAGAGAAGGTCGAGTGTACCGAGAACAAAGTGATGGCGAACGGCAAAGTGAAATGGTCGAGTATAGCGAGGAGCTCGAGTGGAATTGAGTCGAGTAACTCTTTGGTGAGAGATGGCGATTCGTGGTCGAGTGAGAGGCAGCGATTTGTGGTGAAGTAGAAAAATTGGAGTGTCGGTGGCGTTGAGGTCGAGTGATTCACTGTGAACCGGAACCGGTGGTCGAGTGAATTGTGGAACTCGACTGCGGCGGCGGAGTAATTCTTTCCAACGGCGGTCGAGTGGTTTCAGCGAGGTCGAGTGACGGGAAATTGGATAGAGGTTGGTCGAGTGAATTTTCAAAGGAGTGGTGGAAATTAAGTTTGAGATTCTCTCTCTATGTTATCTTCAGCGCGTGGTCCACACTCTGTTGACTGGGAAAACTGCAGGAAATCTACTTTAAACTTGACAAAATCCCTGCAAGTCTTTGTAGCTCCTGTTGGTCGAGTATAGTGATGATTTAAAACATTTTGGGTTTTAAACATCACATATACTCGACTAATGTACTCGAATTCAGGGTCTCCAGCTGCAACAGAAAATTTTCAAAATTTTGCACTCCAACGAGCTATACACTCGATCTCTAGGTCTTCTGTAGAGTAAAAGTTTTGAATTTTTACTCTATCTCCACGTTGTTCTTTTGTTAATGAGAACCACAAACACAACTAAAACAAATCAAAAATAACAAGAAAAAAAAAAATTATTTACAGAGATAGTCATGGGACTTCCTCCCAAGTGAGCTTGTTTAAAGTCCTAGCTTGACTCCTCACACTTATCAAGAAGAAAATGAATGATAGAGTGGGTCTGCATAGTCCTCTCTTGTATCATCATCGTATTTAGCGTCCTTCCTGTAGAGGTCTGCAGCAGAACACTCAATTTCCCTTTCTTCAAAATAGGCTTCTTTCTCTTGTGGAGCGTAATCTATCTCTTCAGACCATCTTGAAGTGAACTTTTTTCTCGGGATAATGTCATTTCCGCCTTTATGTTGAGCTTCCTTCTGCATCTGATTCAGCTTACTCTTAAGCTCCTCAATAGTGTGGGGTAGCTTCTCTATAGTTTCATCTTGCTTATCAGACCTCTTTTTAAGCTCTTTTACTTTTTCAGTATCAAACCCTTCCCCTGGGATCACTCTATCGTCTCCAGAGGTTTTTTCATCTTCTTTTGACTCTCGTGGAGTTTTGTTGATGTCAAACTGCAACTTGATGTGCTTTCCAAGGTTGAGACTTATTTTCCCTTCCCTGACATCTATCACTGCTCCCACTGAGGCTAAGAAGGGTCTTTCCAGGATCAAAGGATCCTTATGTGCTCTTCTTCCATATCCAGCACCAGGAAGTCTGTAGGCACTTCCACTCCATTAATCATGACTCGTAGATCTTTCAGCATGGCGAAGGGTTTTCTTGATGACCTATCCGCAAGGATCAAAATGAGGTCACAAGGCCTGTACTGAATAAATTCCAACCTTCTTGTCATAGAGAGTGGCACTAAGCTGACAGAGGCTCCGAGATCGCACAGGCAATCTCTAAAAGCTAATTCCCCATTGGAACATGGTAGAGTAAAAGATCCAGGATCTTCTAACTTTTCTTGAACAATCCTCTTATCAGCAGCTCGAGATGGAGTAGCGTCACTATCATCATCTGAATCGTGATACATCTTGATCGTTTCCAGTATCAGATTTCTCACATCTTTGTGAGGATCAGGAATCAAGTTGAGAACTTCCATCAGTGGCATCACTGCTTCAATCTCGTCTAGCTTTTTCCTTGCAACAGACTTGTATCTCTCCATCCATGCTTTCCCGAATTTCCATGGAAGAGCACGTGAGGGTAATGGAGTAGGTTTGAAACGTTTTACCATCCTCTCAATTATGGCTGCTTTCTCTTCCAAGGTGGATTGAATGAGATGGCGAGAACCAGCAGAGTGGTTGAATTCAATAACAGAGACTTCAATCTGAGTAGAAGCCTCCCCCTCTTGAACATCACTATCCCCAGTGATTAAATCACGGACGTTCGAGTTGGCAGCTCTAGATCATGGCAGATAGTGATGGCGTGAGCAGTTGCATACTCCTTTGGATTCTGTATTGACTTCCCAGGAAGTCATGTAACTTTAGGTGCAGAGGTAGATGCTGATTGTCCTTCCAAGTATCTGACTTTGGTATTCAATGCCTCCACTTTGGCATTCAGGACATTGTAGCTGCAGTCCAGCTTATGGTGCAATTCAGATAACTTCTTAGCAATATCCATAGAGTTAGATGCTTGTCCGTGTAGCAGCTGTTGTACCATCTGTTTCATTTCGGCATCAGGAGCAGCAGGACCTTGGTTTTACTGAGGTGCAAACCCAGGTGGTGGTTGCTGCTGGTAGTTCCCCTGAAATTGCTCCTTGGGAACAAAACCTTGGTTGTAGGGAACAAAAGGATTGTTCTGACCTTGTTGTTGCTATGGAAGATACACCTGATCCTAAGGATTACCAACGTTGGTGCTGCGGTAGGAGAGGTTGGGGTTATTGGTTTTGAAGTTGTTTTACCCTTTGTAGCCACTCTGGTTGTTGATGTAGCTGACTTCTTCCAACTGGTTACCCTCCCCATCTTGGACTTGATACTGCTCGTCATCAACAAGGAAGTGCACATGCTTCTGCTCGCTAAGAAGAACCCTGTCCAGCTTGTCGTTCAGCGCTTTGATCTCCTTTCTGTGTTTGTCATCAGAGTCGGTTGTGCTTCTGACGGTCCTATCGAAGTCCTCGTTGTAATTACCATCTGATTGGGCAAGGTTCCTGTCACGCCCTTCTCCCTCAACATTGAGACGGCGCACTTTCCCCTTACTTATATCTTTCCTCTATTCCACTTTCTTAATTCAAATACAAAATTGTCTTAAAAATAATCTTAAATCATTGAAAACTCTTTACTAAATCGTATAAGAAAATAACAATAGTAGAAAATAAACCCAAAGTTCCCAAAATACACAATAAGCAAGACGGACTTGCGCGACTATTCGCGATTCTCACCGTGACCTGGAGAAAAAGGGGAAAAGAGGGTGAGTAAAGAATTACTCAGTGTGAGGATCCTTTCCGCCCACTGGAAATACGATACACGATTCTACCTTTAAACCACAATCAACAATCACATAGAAAATAGACACAACACTCATATAGTCTACATCACTATGAAAACTATAACACATAACTTATTCTTGCTGAAGCAAGATCTCCACATCATTTCCAGGTTCGATCATCTCCCTGACCTTTGAACCTATCTAGTTCCACTGGACTCGTCAGTCTTTTATTGAGCTACAAAGAACCCGTCAATTCAATGTAAACCATTTTCCACTATTCCATTGTTCCACTT